AACTGAAGTAAGCTGATATCCAAGGCTTTTTACACATGTACAAAAATCCACATACACCATATATGTGTCTGTACTTCTAGGAAATTACAACACAGAGGAAGAATCACCAGTAAGTTTGGATGGTTCAACTAGCAAAACAGATTAAAGGAACACCACAGAATAAGATGCCTTAGTAGATCATTCTCACACTGGGAAAAATAATACAGTCCCTGCTACCTTAAGGTAAAGGTCTACAAAGGAGACAGATAGAGATGTCTGTATTGTCATAAAATCAGAAATTTGAGCGTCTGAAATCTGTCTGAACTACTCTGTGTATTTGTATCATTAGCAGCTATACTGTTTTCTATAAATAATAATAATAATTTTTTTTTTTTTTGAGTCTCAAGCTGTCGCCCTAGGTAGAGTGCAGTGGCATCACAGCTCACAGCAAACTCAAACTCTTGGGCTTAAGCTATTCTTTTGCCTCAGTCTCCCAAGTAGCTGGGACTACAGGCATCCACCTTAACACCCGGCTATTTTTTTTGTTGCAGTTGTCATTGTTGCTTAGCAGGCCCGGGCCAGGTTCGAACCCGCCACACTAAGTGTATAAGGTTATCGCCCAGCTGACTGAGCTACAGGTACTGCCCATAAATAATTAGTAATAGCAAAGTCCACTTCCAAAAATTAGCCAATCTCAGCAGCATGTATATTAAAAGAAACTGTTAAAACTTTTTAAAAACTTTACATTTAAGTTTACAAGAGTACTATTTAATTTGGGTTTTTGTTGTTGTTATTTTATTTAGGAGATTTGGGAGTTGGGATGAGCATATGCACACAGCTGCCTTTTTTTTTTTTTTTTGATCGAGATAAAGTTCTACCCTATGACTTGAGCAGAGTGTAATGGCATCATAGCTCACTGCAACCTCAGACTTCGGCTGTGGGGCATCCTGCTGCCTCAGAAGCTACTGGGATTACAGGTGTTTAGTGTAGCGCCTGGCTGATTTTTTCTATTTTTTTCATGAGTTGAGGCCTCACTCTTGCTCAGACAAGCCTCAACTCCTGAGCTCCAGCAATCCTCCCACCTCAGCCTCCCACAATGCCGGGATTACAGGCGTGAGCCACCGTAAAGGAGAATGTTTCAGCTAAAACGAAAAGTATGTCTGAGGGTTAACACTAGGCTTCCAAATACCCTTTCTCACCTAGAGATTTTCCTTTTAGAACGCTTTTCTATTTAAAACTGACAGGATTTTATTTTAACTAGGAAAACCAGGTCATACCAAAAAGATTCAAAATTTTTCATAAACCAACTGTGAAGACAATGTCCTAAGCACCTTTTTGTATCTATCTTCTTTTGTATAGAAATACAAATGGTAAAAATAGATTTTTCTCACTGCTGTGGGAAAAAAACGACAAAAAAAAAAATTCTCATACATTTAAGAATAACACAAATAGCTGGTACTAGAAATGAGATGCATCTGTAAATGAAAGCACAACAGTCACTGTTATGTTGAAGTTAAAATGTGACAAGACTCCAAGATAAATGGGTTATAAGAAACTGATTACAGAAGGTAAGAAATAATCAAAGGTATTTCAACATTTGAAATTAAAACTATGAAAATTGTTAAAAATAAATTAATTTGAATTTTTAAAAAATGGAGCAGTGTAATCTATAACTCAGACTAAATCAATCTAAGACAAAACTGAGGATGTGACCCAGAGTGTCATAAAAAATAAAATCAAAACAATCTAATATTTCAGTAATAATTCCAGATATAATGCTTATTATATAATATAATAAACTAGATCAAGCAAACAGTTGATAATTAAGCTCTAACAATCTAAGTAAATTCCTCCTAAATCTGTTATAAATTCATTTGCTGATTCTAAGTAATATTTGTCAAACATCACTACTCCATAAAAAGAGTAACTGAAAACAGTAAAATAATTCTGAATAAAAACAGACACAAATTTTAATACAATCAAAATTTTATGCACCTATTACTTCAAAGTATGCTTCCCATAAACTCTAGTTTTATGAAATGTTCTTTATGAAGGGGGTCTTTGTGGTCAAGTAAGTTAGGTAATCGCTGGAAAATTTCTGGCATTTACACTAATGAATGTTTCTGAGAAGTCCTTCAATAAATAATCTATCTAACATTAATGACTCAAGCACTGCCCACATTTACTTGACTCAGTAGTATTACGTATAGTATCATTGCACAAAACACCTGAAAACATACGTTAGTAAAGATTAAGGTATTTAAGTCTCCGTTTTTAATGAAGTTCTGTCTTAATGAGCAGTTTTAACTGTTATTCATCAATTCTTTTACTTTATTATCAAGAGTATGATACTGGCTCAACATAGGGAACAGAAGGAAAACGTAAAGCCAAGTTAAGAAATAGCTAAGCCTCCATCCCTCAAGATTTCTGTTAAGGACCTTGGAAGCTCCACAATGATGAAGATATAATCCACTGGCAGTGGTAAACTAAGTTTTCAAGTTTTAATCTTTTTCCTTTTTTGCTTCTTCCTATGTGGAATGCTACTTATCCAGATTTCTATCAGCATATTTAGGTGTGAGTCAAATATTACCTCCTCCAAGAGGTCATCCCTTCCCTTCTTATCTAAACTTAGTTTCCCCAATTCCAACTTCATCAAACATTATATTATACTGTTTGGATTTCTTCTTTTCACTTATTTGATTACTAATACAACCTAGGACCCAGAGTGGTGCCAGACACATTATGCTGGACAGTTAACATTGAATGAATTAACCAACACTATTTTTGCAAATAGCTTTCCATTATATATACCTATTAAAATTTAATGAATGCAACAGAAATAGATACTAATACTAAGATTTATTATTATTTCTATCTGGAATTGAGTGTAGCACTTTTAAAAGCTCACGGTAAATTGCTTTCTTTGTATATGCAATATTGTTTTTTTGTTAAAACATGTCAAAAGTTCGTATCTTCAACCCAAGAAAAACATACAATTTCTAGTTATTTGGATTAAATAAGAGTCAAAATAATCCTGAAAACACCTTTTCAATATTAACAAAACAGAAAGCTAGTCATATCACTAGAAAATAAACCTCAAAGTTTTGAAAAGCCTTAGATTTTGAAATGAGTATTTGTTACTTTAGTTAAACTTCAGTGGACTGAACATGAGGACTAGCACTGAGTAACAATAACTTTTTAGTAAGTTAAAAAACAAAAAGAGAATTAAGGTGAACTCAAATAGTACAATAAAACGCAACTGCTCAAACTGCCATTTCTTTATTCACTGGTTTCATTTTACGAATGTTACAGTTCTTATGTACCTTTATATTAATCTTAGCATTGAACAGCTAGCTACTCTAATAAGTAAACTAATAAAAAGATGGAGATGAGAATTTGAGAATGTCTAGATCCAGAACATTTAACCAGTGGATTAAACTGGGATTAATTTTGAGACTGAATTACCAAGAATGTACTTTTAATCCCTCTACAGCTGCACAACCATACAACAGTCCAACTTCTGGTTTAAGATATCTGCAGAGATAATTAAATTTATCTTCCACAGGGGTTCCAAAACATTTCCATCACATTTTTCAAGTTCTCCTCAAAGCAACCCAGAGCAATTTCTTTAAATACATAAGGTAATTTTTTCTGATTAAAGCAGATTGTTTTCTGTCTTAATCAAAACTATTTGGACTTGATTATCATTTGTTTCTACATTTTCCTCACATAGTAAAATCTCCAAAATAATCTCTGAATAAGAAACACAAGACTTGCCACTCTTGGCAGACATAACCCATTTTCTACGTAACAATAGCAACAGGCAGCCCCGTGGCTCAAGGAATAGGGTGCCAGCCCCATTTACCAGAAGTGGCAGATTCAAACCTGGCCCCAGCCAAAAAAAAAAAAAAAAACCTTGCCTGGTATATATACCTCTGCTTGGTGTATTATAAAATTATTAGCCTCAAACTCCAAAATTCAGAGAAATAAGAAACCTTAGCATTGGTACTTAATTATTTACAAAACAGCCACCAACAATTCAGGACAGTGGTTCCTAATTACACTATCAATTGTTCTAACTGGCATAAAATCCCGATTTTAAACTTGCCTTATATAATCTCAAAGCATTCTCTTTATGCAAACAGAAAAATCTTCATTAAGATTTTTATGTGTATATTACATATACATATACACAGGTTATCTATTTTTTTTCTTTTTTAGAAATAATAGTAGGCTAAAAGTAGGCCTTAAAAATTGGTCAACTCTCGGGTACTAAGTGGATTGTGGAAGTTGAGAACTAGTTGTGTCAGGACTCGCTCAGGATCATACACAATAAATAAAATATGCCTAAAAATATACTTATTCTAGTTTTAAGGAGGAGGCTGTGTATTTTAATTTAGCATGAAGGAACACAACCAAAGTTGAAAATAAAATGAATAAACAACTGGTCCAACATGATGGTAGCAATTTTAATAACCTAATCTGAAAAGCCAAAATAAAGTCTTTTGAAAAATATTGAAAAAAATGAACATTAGCTTCCCTATATAATCCAGAAAAGCAGAAAACTATACTCGATATATATTATTTGGTTTGACAAAACTGTTAATTTGAAGAGAAATGACCTAATGACCTCATTTATTCACTAGGCTAAATTTTTAGAACACTTTTCTTTCAGTATTCTTCAAACTTCAATTATAATTTGAGCATCTACCAGCATCAAGATTCTGCCTACACTTCACTCTATTATTGTGTATCATTCCTCTCTTAATTAAAAAAAAAAAAAACCAAATAGCTTAAAAAATTACAATAAATTGCCATCAAATAATCTGACTGCCTATTATAAGGTTTCTAAATAATGCCAATACAGTCTTTTGTCCAAAGCTGTCATCTAAATAAATTCTATCAACTCTAATAATTATTTTACTGAATAGAAGTCACTTTTAAATGGGAGCTTATGTCAATAAGGCTTTGAATGGTTAAGATAATCAGTGTAATGTACACAAAGAATGACCAAGTCTTACCTTTATCAGTTGTTACTTTTTCTATACATCTGAAAAAAATAAGAACCAAACATTAAATGAACAATCTCATACATTTCCTTAAATACAAATACAAGGATGTATTTCTACATCCATAGTGATGTAAAAAGCATCCACAGCAGATGTCATCAAACAGAACATTCAGCAGTGATGCAAATACTCTATAGGTAGCTGCGCTATCCAATATAGTAGTCACATGTAGCTACTGAGCGCTTGAAATAGGTCGTATAACTGAGGAGCTGAATTTTTAATTTTAAGTGATGTAAATTTTAGTAGTCACATGTAGGTATCTGACAGTACAGAGCTAGAATATTAATAAAATTACTTGCTTTTAACTGTAAAAAGATATTAATATTGCTAACTGTGTTATATTAAGTGGTATATAAGAAAATGCTCTAATTTTATAGAAATGCACTAATTAGGGGTGAAATGACATAAAGTCTGAGAAACACAAAATACTTTTGCCTCTTTTATCATTTTATTAGGTAATAAATACTGGGGTTTGTTTCATTATATAATTTTGTCTACTTTGTGTATATTCAACAATTTTCATAATAGGAATTTAATAAGCTTTTCAGATGCTCCTAAAATTAAGCCCAAATCAAACCTATTTCTAAAAGGAAAATATGTAGATACCTCAAATATCCTCTACGACAGTTAAGAGCTTCAAGTGCTATAGCCTACCGATTAAAAAAGTCTTCCTATGTTTCTAATTTGGAAAAATTTCTATCATACATAACTGGTAAGGCCAGTATAATAAATTTCCCTATACCTATTACCCAAATTCAAAAGTCAACATGCCTCTGATCTTTGTGGTAAAGATGTGACATAGTATCTCTGAGTAGTATAAAGCGTTTTAGTTATTTTCCCCCTCTAATAAGTAAACTTAATACACTGAAGGAAGACACTTTTGTGTTACAAAAGTATACCCAGGCCAATACAGAAACCATAGAATACTATAAAATCTGTTCTCCTTAGGAAGAATATCATTTTGTGTTCTGTATTATTTTTTAAAAAGCTTGACATTATAATTTAAAGTCATATTTCCAATATCTTAATTCACAATATAACTGCTAACCATCTTAACTTTAAATAAAAAGTACTAAAATAATTGCCAAAATTTGAAAAATTATACAAAAAGCTTTCCATACTGATTACTCAAGGATCTTGACCACTCGGAATTTCAGTTTTATACAATTAAAACCTTTCTCTGGCTCGGCACCTGTGGCTCAGCCACACCTAAGGTGACGAGTTCAAATCCAGCCCGGGCGGGCCAAACAACAATGATGGCTGCAACCAAAAAATAGCTAGGCGTTGTGGCAGGCACCTGTGGTCCCAGCTACTTGGGAGGCTGAGGCAGGAGACTCACTTGAGCCTAGGAGTTGGAGGTTGCTGTGAGCTGTGATGTCACAGCACTCTACCCAGGGGGACAGCTTGAGGCTCTGTCTCAAGGAAAAAAAAAAAAATCTTCTCCAAAGAACTCTACTTCTTCTCAATTCAGAATACTACTGCCTCTTCTTCCTCAGTAACCATGAAAAGAAAATGTCACTTGAAAGTTTATCACTATTTTATCAGTATACCAAAAGTGGAACTCTGTACATCAGAAAATAGAGCAATACTTTCCTTCATCTGTAACTCATCTGAACCTGAAGAAGTCCTCTAAAAGTATCAGCTCATATAGTACTTAACAGCTAAATTTAAGTTTTAAAAAGTCATCTGTTACAGAAGTTTTAAGTTCTAAAACTCACAATAAACAGTATATATATCAAGACAAAATGAAAAGAAACCCTTTTGCAGTTTAATCTAGTCTTAGTTGACAATTTCATTGTTTCTATACTAGAAAACATGGATATTTTAAATTATGAATCAGAAAAAATTATATCCAAAAACTTCTACACCAATACTACACTAAATAGCATGTTTCCTGTGGAATATATTTATATTTAAATGTGAAAAGAAAGTTATAAACTTAAGTTTATGAAAACTGTAAGCTAATTAGTCAACTATAAAGCTCATTCCAGAACTTTATTATAAAGTTACCAAGTATAGATGGAGCAGATCTAAAGAAATTAAATGACTTGCTCAAGGTTACTCAGGGAATAGTAAAAAGCTGGGACCTGCAATTTTTGACTAAAGTCCAGGGCTTTTCCCACTATATTACCTTGCTTTCCAATACAGACATAGCTTTCAATCAATCCAAATCTATGTATTTACTGACCTTTTAGGCTATTTTATAGTTGACTATTTCTTTAATCAAGAGAACAAAATTTAGGTTACACAGCTGATTACTAAAATGATGTAGAGAAAAAAGCTAGGATATAAAAAAAGGGATCTGAATAAAACAATTAATATAGAACTTAAACTTCTTGATTCTGTTTTAAAATTGTCATAATGGTATTTGGAAAATACAAATTAATCAAAGAAAGAAGACACTAGACCCTGCAGGATTCCGTACACTGATACTCAAAATGTCTTGCAGGGGTATCCAAACTTTTCTCTTTTCTGTCATACACTAGAAAAATAAAAGTTGTCTTAAGCCACACATTAAATACATCAACTCTAACAAAAACTGATGAGCAAAAGAAAGGGTCTAAGCATACTTTGTGAAATATCCAACACCAGAGATAAGCAAAATAGGCCTCAAAAAATCTGCATGCAGCCCATAGGCTGCAGCCTGGACACCCTGCACGATTAAATTAAGCAAGAAAAAATAGCTTTAAGATGTATTTTATCGTTAAAAATCTATAAACCATGCACATGTTTGACACAGCTTCACCAATCAAGCATCTTGCCCTTATACCTCAAGGTCCTTGAAGGAAGAACCATGTCTCAGTTTTCTTTCTACAGCCTAGCTTAGCATACCAGGACCAGTTATATTAAAAGAAAGGCTTGCCAACCTGAAATGCTCTAGGACTCCTTTCATTTCCAGGCCACAGCGTAAGCTGAAAATGCGTATTAGGACAAAAATTTGTTTGAACAATCTGATCAATTTGTACAGTTTTAAATACACAGTCAACAGATAATTACAGGGCTAACAAAAAGTAAAAGCCATCAGTTCCAGAGCTTGGATGGAGGGGTATCTTTATCACTACCAACTTTAATGAAATCAGATGATAAGAGTTATTTCTTCCATCCCACAAGAAATATTGTAGAGAAAAAACTGAAGGGATTTAATTAAGTCATCTTCATCTAAGTTCAACTGTAACTTTTATTAGTACTTTTTGTCTAGAGTTAAGAAAAAAAATCATTATGGTAGATAAAATTACCACTCTACATACTATTATCTTAAAAGAGACAGGCATATGTAACTATCCAATGGTAGGTGAGAATACAAGTGATTTTAAAAATATTTTATGTATTGCCTTCCCTAGGTATGTTAATAGGAAAAAAAAATCCTGTTTTACAGAATCTACATGAAAAAGACCACTAGGAACCACTCACTCATACCTCTAGCATGCTACCATTACTTGAAACAGTAACATTTATTCCGAATTTACTATGAGCCAGGTATTATCCTAAGCACATCACATGCCTTATTTAATTCTCATAAACTCACGTTTTAGAGATTGCCCCCAACAGATAAGAAAACTGAGACACAGGTTAAGGAATTTTTCTAAGGTATCTATATCCAAATAAGGTAAATGACATAGATGTTATGAGAGATTAAATATAGAGATCTATTTTTCTTGTAAGCATTAAATCCATCTACAGCAATTAGAATTCTAATTGTAGCCAAATGATTTGTAAGTACAGATTTTTGTTGTCCACAGAACTATACACAGATGCTCTCAATTACGTTAACTTAAATGACATTAAAAAAAAAAAAAAAAAAAATTGAAACTGGCTTGGCGCCTATAGCTCAACCGGCTAAGGCGCCAGCCACGTACACCTAAGGTGGCGGGTTCGAATCCCCAGCCCGAACCCGCCAAACAACAATGACGGCTGCAACCAAAAAATAGCCAGGCATTGTGACAGGCACCTGCAGTCCCGGTTCTTGGGAGGCAGAGGCAAGAGACTCGCTTGAGCCCAGGAGTTGGAGGTTGCTGTGAGCTGTAATGCCATAGCTATCTACCCAGGGGGACAGCTTGAGGCTCTGTCTCAAAAAAAAAAAAAAAAAAATTGAAACTACAGTTAACAACGCAAGTTGACTATCTTTAAATTTTATTTCTGTTTCTGAGAGGCTTGTAAGGCAAGCATGCCAACTGAGAGACTTAACTCTCAATTTTGGAGAAGATCTGCTTCAAACTTTTAATCCACTGAGTTTAGCATAAGCCCAACTGTGCCACTATTTCTACTGGGAGAAGATGAACTCTTATTTAAAAATGACGCGTCGTCGACCCCCTGCCCCGGAATTTTCCCTGCTTTTACTAATTCTTTTTCACTGTAAAGTCAAAGGACATAAATGTTTTCAGTATTGAATCCAAAAGTTCATGTGATTAATTTCTGGAATTTACAAACACGTGTGCTTTAGCATTCTTTAACATATGAACATTATGCTTCTGGCCACCTGTTCATGGTTTCTGTATTACCCCTAGATAATTAATAACGGAATTCTTTTCTGATGAGTCTAATTTGAAGAATGAAGTTCCTACATTAAAATATGTAAAAACAAAAACATAACTGCTTAGAAACAAAAACTAAGGAATAGACTACTCGTCTAATTCTGCTATATTAAAGATTCTAAACTTATAATCGTCAGAGCCACTTTTTTAACCCAACCTTAAGTATCAGATTTCTAAAAAGAATGAAAAGTGATGCGAAAATTTAGAAAACTGGAAAAAACTACAGAAACATACTAGCACTACTGACTGTTGAACTAATTAATGGGAAGGGGGAGTCACATTTTTGGAGGCCAGGATCGTGCTGTGAATTTCCTAATGGGGATGTGATGTAATACTGGAGAGCCAAGAGAGGAAAAGGGATAGGTTGACCAAGGGGGTGCAGATGCCAGAGGGAGGAATAAGCCCGCAGGAATCAGGGAGGTGGTGGGTCTCAAAAGAGTAGGAGGAGTGTATCCTACTAAGAATGACTGAGGAGGCGGCCCGACCGACAGAAGGCACCAGGAGCCGAGAGGGGCCGCAGAGAAAAGCGACACACGCCTCGCAGCGAAACCAAGTGACATCTGGCGTGCGGAGCCGGCAGGGGGCAGAGCGGGCAGGATGTCACGTGGAGTGGGCGCTACGGGAGCCGAGAGGGTTGCGTGCGGATAGAGGGGGGTCTTCCCACCGCCTGAAAGACTACGTTACTCACTGGAGTCGCGGACTCTTCTTGCCCTGAACTGGAGACGGGGACTTCGTGGCATGGGGCAGCTGCCCTGGAACGTCGGGAGGCCTGGCGCTGGGGCTGCTCCTCCGTCGGCGGGGATATTCGGCCTTCCTCCGGCGGGACACAGCGGCAGCGGCGGCGGCGGCGGCGGCCGCAGCAGCCCGGCCTCTGTCCCGACCACCCCTTAGCACGCGGCTGCTAGTGGTCCCCGCAGGCGCCGCCGCCGCTGCCTCAGGGGGCCGTTGTTGGGTCTCCTCTGGGGCCGCTTCGGCCGCCGCTGCCTCTCCCCCTTCCTGGTCCTGCTGCTCCGGGGGTCTCGGCTCTTCCGTCTCCCCCGGCATCGGGGCTCGTCCGTCCCCCACCCCCTCGTCCCAGACGACGGAGGCGGAGGCAGCGGCGGCCGCTGCGCTACTCCCCCCGCCCCCCTCGCCTCCCGGAGCGTCCGGCTCACTCTCACCCGGCGCTCCTGTTTCCCCCCTCCCCTCCGCCCGGCTCCGAGGGCGCCCCCCCCACCCCCTGCCACTCAAGGCCCGCTACTGCTGGCGGCGCGCGCGCGCCCGCCACAGACGGTCTTCGGCCCAATTGGAGAAGAGGAAGGACTCCCTTGCCCCGCCCCACGCGGTCTCACACGCAGCGTAGTACCAGGTTCCCGCCTCTACCCCTCCCTTCAGCCAATCAGGAAACAGCTCCGAGGGAGCGCGCGAGGTTTCCTTCCCCGCGCACCCGTTCTCACCGTTAAACGGCTGCGTCTCGCGACAATCCCAAAGTGACCTTTCTCCCCCTCCTCCGGAGTTCAGTGCGCGTTAGGGGCAGTGGGAGGGGCAGGTCTCGCGAGGGAGGTGGGTGAGAACAAAACGCACCTCTTTCCCCGCCTAACCAGCACCCTTGATTGGCTGCGCGCGCACCTGCCTCCTGCCTCCCTGAGGAGCCGCTAATGCCACAAGGGCGCTTTCTATCCTTCCTTAGGCCGCAGAAGTAGTCTGGGCGTCCTTCCGCTTCCACCCCGACCCCACTTTCCTGTCTCTGGCCTTTTTGTCCCCAGCGCCGCCAGATCTTGCTAGGAGAAGGGGAAAAATTTTTGCGCTGTCGCTTCTCCTTTAAGAAAAAAAGCACCGTCGGCTGCCGGATGAAAGTCTCTGAAAAAATGGCGGCGGCAGAACGGAGGCGGGGTCGTGGGCGACGAGGACCCGCCTCTTGGCGCATGCGTGTGGTTAACTTAACCAAGGGAATTCTGGGAGATGAAGTCCTATTTCTCTTATGCTTTAGGGGAAAAGGAAGCAGGAGGTGGAGAGGATGATGGGAGGTTTTGACTGATTCCTGACGGGAAAGGTAGTTCACTGTCCAACGCAATTCCAGTTTACTTTTTCTGAGAGGCAGTGTTTCCGGGTTAGGCCATGACTACTGTCGTACATCCGGCTCAAATGTTGAAATAACTGTTGGTCAGAATAACTTGGGCGGGTTTTTACTACCTTTTCTCACTTTGTATCTTGGAGTTGGCGTAGTTTTACCAAGGTGGCTCCTTAATATTCCTTCCCTTAGTTGCGTCAGGTGACACCTCCCCTGAGGCTGACTCGTGTTCCTGTCCGCGTTATTCGTCTCATCATCATGTCTCACCCACTCACCTACGAGCCCTGAGCCCTTGGAGGTCTGGGACTGAATCTGGTTCCGTGGGGTCCTCGGGGCCCTAACACAATGCCCACTAGTCAGTTGGTCTTAATAAAATATGTGAAACGAACTGTAAAGTTGCTTTTCCACTAGATACTGAGGCGTCAAGGAGCTAATGTCTGTTGCTTGCCTGTGTTCCTTGTCCAGGAGGGAGGGAGAAAAGTTGTTAGCGTGACTCTGGTAACTTACATGGAGAAGCGGAAGGTCTTGGTCTAGTTCCCCGCCCGGAAGCCACCTGCTTCTGCGGTTTATGAATGTCTCTGCTATACAGGAAGCATAATCAGGACAGCAGATTTATCAGAAATTATCTTTTTGCCCACTAGCGTGTGCTGCTAAAATGTCCTCCTGGTGCACCAAAGGGAGTTTCCATTTGCTCATCAGCAAGTTACAGTCAGTGATGCAGTGGGCCTCTCCTGTTCTTCCTTTGATCCATTATGATCAAGAAACAGTTTGCAAAGGCAGTCCTTTACCCCTGGAAAATAAAGCATCTGGGCTTAAAAGCTCCTGAAGAAAGGAGATCAAACAAGACCTGGGGATCCACTTCTAAATTTCACATTAATCGTTTAGTTAAACTGCAGACAGTGCTAAAGTACTTTTTTCCTTAAAGTATTGTGACTCGGTTACCACTTAGGATTAGGCAAATGTTTTATATTCTTACTGTTTTGCACTTTCGTAGACTTAATGTCATTTTCACTTGTAATAATTGTGGCATAGCGTCAGTGGGAATTTTTTCATACTGCAGTGAGATTTTTGGAACAGCACTGACATCCAATGGCTGCTGAAAGTAAGACAGAGGGGGAAATGTACCCCCCACACACAACACCAAAGGTTTTACAAACACAGTGGAATGGAGAATTGGAGAATGAATGATCCCTTTATCAAAAGGCTGCTGTGTTGCAAAGGAAAGATCACAGACTTGGGAGTCAAATCTGGATTATAGTTAAGTAGCAAAGCTACCAATTAGTTATTATCTTGGCAAGTTACTCTTCATTGAACCCACACGTATTTCAACTCTGGCAAAAATGGAGATACAACCTATTTCCCAGGGCTATAAATTATGGTTCTTTATGTAATGCCTTCTCGTAGTAGGACTTTAAAAAGGGGAAGGCTAATCCCAGTGTCACGTTTAAGGGAAACTGCTATGAGGCAATGTAACTAGCAAGGGATTATAATTAAAATGTTCTCAGTTTAGCTGGTGTCAAACCTTCTAGCTTCATTTTTCACGATCCCTATATATGTTTGCATTTTAGACCACTGAATAAACTAGGCCCTGAAAACCGAAACATGCATTACTTCTACCCTACTTTTCAAGAATGTACATCCTATGCAGGAAAACAGGTGAAAATAACTTCCAAATAATTAAATAAAGACAGCAAAATGAACTGGATACTGGTTAACTAGGATGAAAATTTTATGAAGGAGACTTTGTCGCCATGGTCTCCCCTCTTCTTCACAGAAGAAAAAGAAGAGTCTCAGTTACAGTGGGATATCTGCCTACATTTGAGAAAGCCACAAATGTAAATCTACCATTCCCATTAATTCAAAATGAAACTTGGCACATAGTAGGTGCCCACAGTTTGCAAAATTAATTTTGAATCTTTTTCACCCTGGCCAAGGCACAACCAGAACTCAAATCTTACTATTTGCCTTTCTATGTCAGTCCCATTTTTGAAAACTAAACGAAAGAAAGAAAGAGAGAGAGAGAGAGAGAAAGAAGGAAAGAAAGAAAGCAACTCACCAAATCAAAAAGAGAGGAAGTGCGAAGTAGATACAGGAACCAAAAAAGGGTTATAGAGGCTGTTTTACAGTGTCTCATTCAGTTCCGTTGTGGTCCTCCTCTTCAGTGCATGCCAAAGGAGTTCCTCACAACCTCTGGACAAGAGCATCTTGGATGTGGGACAATGGAAGACTTGGGTGAGTAAGGAGTTTCTTGAAGGAAAAACTCTGAGAGAATGAAGACTTGGCTGTCTTCTTCATGAGTTGCTGGCTATGCTTCTAGTCAGACTGAGGGTAGTACTGGAAGATTTTATTTTCACTTCTCTCCTGTTCTCAGCCCAACCAAGAGGGAAGCATGAGGAGCTATGATTGTTTGGGGGAACTGTGGTTTTACTGTTTGAAATGGCAAAATAGGCAAAGAGTTTGGTGCTAACCACAGAGTAAACTCTTGACAAATACTTTTTTGGACTGAATTGTTACTGAAATTTTTATGTTATGATGGGCATTTTACTTCATGGGAACTACTAAAGATCATAGGATGACACATAGCTAGGCAACGAGAGAAATGTGATTTGGGAGAAAAAGAAAAAGGGGCGGACTGTTACAAAGGAGAAAAATGGATTAGAAGTACAAAAATGAAGGATCTGCCAGAGGTGGGAGTGAGGCCAGGGTGTTTTCATTTGTTCCATGTTTTAGTATTAAATCAAGAAGGCAGAAGTCTAGTGATTTTGTTGCTAAGCTTTTTATTCAGAGGAATTCTGAATAAATTCAGATTTATTACTAAAGACTGAAAATTTGATACCTCCTTCTACTCCACAGCAATTAAAACCAGCAGTGGAACTGTTAATCACATTACTAAGAGAGGTCCCTGACTTCAAATCTTTGGAGTAATGGAAGCTTTGTCATTCTTAGGAATCATGCCACAGGCTTTACCAACCTTTGTTGCCAGCATCCTAACTCCCACAGAGTCACTAACCTTTACCTAGTTTCTAAGCTGTACTAATTCCACAACGTCCTGGGTTTGTGTGTGTTTGAGGCTTAGGGGTGCCGAAAATGCAAACAATAACAAAAATATCTTACACACGTCCTTTAAAAAAATTTTTTTTATGGTTTGATGTGAAAGCTGGAGAGATAGAAGGGAAAAGAGCAAACAACAGGAGGGAAGAGATGTTAATGAAGAGAAAATAGTGGTTAATAAATATAGAACTGTTTTATAGGTAGCATCTATTTTGATAGTAGGATAGATTCTGTTTTGGACTTGGGGTAGAATCCAAATTCTTATCCTGCATGTGATGGGGGAATCTGAAGTTATGCCTGAGTTCCACGAGGAAAAAATGGATACCTAATGGTTTTCATGCAGATAATTCAAAAGGAAACTAATACTTATTCAGCGACTCAGTCTAAAAGTAGACATTTTTATGTATGTTAATCATTTTATTGTCTACACCACTGCTCTGAAATAGGTATTATTCACCTTTTTTTCAGATGACAAAACTGAGAAAAAATAAAATAACTTGTTCAATATTACTCCACACGGTGTTTTCCTGGTTTACAAGTGTATTGGTTTAGGTGTTCTAGCCAATGGAATGACCCAGATAAGCAAAACAGTTGTACAGTTTTGTATTTCCTGAGCAGGATGGATGTTAGAGAAAGACTCCTTTAGATTATCCAACTGGCTACATCTTAACAGACTTTTGATGGATGGCTACATTTCAACTGTTTCTTCCAATTGTCATCAGTCCAATAACTGCCCTTGGGATTTGGGGCAGATCTGTCTTTCCTCTTGCAGAGAAGTAACATCAGGACAGATGGGCTCAGGTGAGCATGTATTTACTTGGCAGTGCCACTTCAGAGATTAGCAGTTTGTATTCACCCAGGAGTTTTACCTAAACCTTCATCATGCGAGGATGATAGATTAAAAAAAACAAGAGAAAATTCTGTCTCAAAATGAGATCCTTCCAACCCTAGACCCCCAAGAGACCTCACTTTACTCTTTCACGTTAGCGTTCATATTATTTGCAAAAGTAGGTAAAGGACCGTGGAGAAGAACTGCAGAGTTTTCAGTCTAGTACCCTCCTCTCCAGCAATCTCATCTTTGTCATATTGAAATTCGTCATCTCCAAATTACAGAATCTGGCAAAAGGCATAACCTCAGAGTGCTGGTGCTAGGCACACTCAGGAAACAGGAAGAGAAAGGCCTGTTAACTCATGACCCAGAAAAGAGAGTTTTATTGACTTTGGTTAGCTGGTGCTTCTGAGGGTAACTTCCTACTCTTGGTGGCCTGGCCTCCTCCCTCCCGTAGTCTGTACTGTAAAGTGAATTTTTATTTTTAATTCAGTGGAATCTTGAACTGCTGGCTGGGACAAAGCTTAAAAGAAAAAAAAGGGACTCTACCTTAATTGAGAGATACAGAATAAAATTTGGAATTCTGAGATTTGGAAAAGAGTCTGGATAATAGAATTCTGAGACAAGAAGTTTTACTTTCTCGTTCTATCTTCGTTTTTGTTGTTCTTCTTTGTAAAAACTTACACTGTTATAGAGAATTTTTAAATATGCAAAAGTAGAGGAACTAGCTTAATGAAATCTGATGGACCCTTCAACCAACTTAAATAATCATTCTCTCTTGACCAATCTTGTCACATCTGCCTATACACATCTGCCCATTTCTCCTACCCACATTAATTTAAAGCAATTTCTACAAAATGAGAATAACAATATCACCTTCCTCAAAAGGATGATTAAATGAGATGTGTAAACTGAGCACAGTCCCTAGCATTGTTAATATTTATTAGTTTTTACTAATTAACTTCATTATAACAGAAAGACACTAGTATAATACAGGAAACTCCATTGTTTTTTTCCCAAGAAAACAATAAGAGAAGCAAATCCCAAATATTTAAATTGCGACATCTGACTTTATTTTGTTACATGTAAGTTTTCTCTCCAACCCTTTTTTCTTTTCTTCAACCTAAAAGACAAAAGACTTATAGAGAATTTTATTATGTGCTTGAAATAATTCTTGAGTTTTAATACAACAAAAAATCTTTAGGATTAAAAATAAGTGTTATTGTCTTGGTACATTTTGAAAAATGGTAATGTAATTACTTATATTTTCTGATAGGAAAATATTTAGAATTTATTTTTTTCTAATTGGGGATCTTTGTGGATGATAAAAATTAATATGTGCAATATAAGAAGTCAATTTAGAAACTGAGACTATTAAATTGAAAGCAAACGTAGAAAATAAGAAACAAGCCACAATTTGTGGAGGCATCAAACATCTCCTCGTAGAATATACCAAATTCTTGAAGTGAAAAACAGAGTAAGGGAAGATGTTTGAAAATAGCCTTGACCCAAGAGAAGAGGAGATGAATGAGGGCACAGTGCAGATATTTAAGGAGAAAATAAATCCAGATACTTAAATATTCTTTTTTATTATATTCTTGTTTCTTGTGATGCAGATGCCTTATTGGAGGAACTGGAATCCTCCATCCTCCAGAACAGTGATGAACCTTCCAGCCCGGATCCTCTTCCTTTGGATAAGCATTCCAGAAAGGAGAATAACCTTAAAGAGACTTCAACTACTCTTTCGGATCAGGATGACACAAGTCCTTTGCCAGTAAGTTTTCATTTACTATAAATATAGATGTTTGAATGCATTTCTGAAAATTAATTGTATCCCCCATAAAATGAAAGGAGAATCTTATACCCAATATAGAGAAAAAAGTAATCTCTCAGTGTTAATTTAAAGATGTTTGTTTGGGGAAAGAGGAAGAGAATGAAAAACTTGTCACAGAAGAATAAGCCTTGAGAACTGCATTTTTTTCTAATGAGGGGATGGTCACAGGTAGGGTACTGCCTAATTCCCTAGAGATACTCTGATGTTACTGTCTGGACAGCAGAGAGACACATTGCAATTTGACTGAAAGAGCACTCTGAGGCCAGAGATCACCTGAGGAAGGCCAGGCAGTTCGGACAAGTCTCCTCAAGGTCACCACTTCCCAAGTCTTATTTCCAAGTTTATTATTATTCCCAGAGATGATGAAGCTCTAGGGAACCAACTCAAGATAACCAAGCACTCAAGAAATGATGTATAAAAAATAAAAACAGAAATCAAATTTATTAATTTGTGATTAGAGTTAAAACTGCCAAGTAAAACAGATATTAGTATTTGCTGACATATGTATTCTCTTCCTATGGATAAGTCCACATGAACCTACATCGTAATTAGAAGGTTAGCTGATAAGAGTGGAATTAGTATAAGAAGAATTAAGTGGATGCTTTTCATAGCTGGTATTTTTGAACTGTGATATTCTGATTGTACAGTATAAGGAATAACTAGCGGGACAGATCTGAAATTCGAACTCAGGGATTAGGTTCCCCCTCTGACTCTTCTTTCATCTGGACATATACACAGTTTTAAGGTTGTTCATTCATCTCTCTATTCAGGAGTTATTGTGTTCATTGTTAGATCATAGCTAACTGGTCTCCTATTCTTGCCACCTTTCAGTCTGCTTTCAACATAGCAGCCAGGGTCATCCTTTCAAACTTAACGTATGGGAGCGGCACCTGTGGCTCAAGGAGTAGGGCACCAGCCCCATATGCCGGAGGTGGAGGTTTCAAACCCAGCCCCGGCCAAAAACTGCAAAAAAAAAAAAAAAAAAAAAAAAAACTTGACGTATGGTGCTCAGGAGATAGACAAACTTGATCACTACACATTATATATATGTACCAAAATTTCCTCTGTAACCCATAAATTTGCATAAATAAAAATAATTCGGATGCTGTAATTCTCATATTCAAAACCCCACAGTGACTTCACAACTTCACATCTCATTTGTTATAAAAGCCATGGTCTTTACATTGATTACTGTGGTGTGACCACATGCCCTGGTTTATAAACCTGTTTATTAATTATGCTTGTTTTTCTGACATCTTATTGACTTTACCTTTTACTCCTTATTTTCAGTTTTTTTGAAGTTTTCTCATTAGTATTTGCATTAAAGTAAGCCAGCCATGGCTTACCAGGCCTCTATTTGACTCTTTTGTTTCATTCCACAGTCTCATCTAGTAGTGTGTAAAATACATGAAATGAACAAGTTCCCACTTTCTTAGGGCTAAATCCAAAACGTGACTGATGACAGCTTGTCTTTTTTCCTGATCCTGTACAGACAAAATTTAACTAAATAGCAACTTCTCAAGTATAACATGCAGGGTGCTGCCTGTTACACTTAAGAGCTCACACGCAGCAGTCAGGGACACTTTTCATCTTAGGTGGTCGCAGAAAAAATTGTCAGGCTTTTTTTCCTGCTGGCCTCTTGGCCACCACTCATGCCATGTTGTGGTCCACATGGTAGCCTGTGAGATGCATGGACCCTCCTCAGAGTCGGTAAGAAACAGGAAAGTGATTGCATGACATTCTATTAAAAAACAAACAAACAGAAATAGGAAATGGGGCTCAGCATTTTTGCCATGGAGTATACATAACCTAAATGTTCTTTTTAAAGCTGTTTTGTTTTTTTTTGTATGTGTCAAGCTCTATCTGTCTTATTATTTGGTAGCACATTTTGGTTTTACAATAAACCCTTTTAGCAATTAGCTCAAAACAAAATCAAAATGCATGTTTAATCTTCTCAAGAAAGCTTATGACAAACATGTCACTCATACAAAATATTCATACAATATTTGTCAATATTTATGATCCAATCCATGGGGTAATTAGAAATATTACTGTCCCTTTGAAAACAAGAAAAAACAAATATGGTGAGGAAACATCAGTGTTTCCACAGTTAATACTTATTTTAAGAAGAATGTGCCTAAAGATAACAATTCAACAAGTGTAGCTATAGGAGATGTGTTTACATGTCATCATGAAACTTGCCTTTCCATGTGTGTCACGTGACTTTTAAATTACTTTTGCTTGTTTTCAATTAAAAGTTTTTTTGTGCTTGTAAAAAAATGAGTTGATTGCCTTAAAAACCATAAAATAACATCAGTTTTGTATTTAGTGTCATCAGAATTTCAGTTAAAGAATTTGTTAAGCCCCAAATGGTTCAGTTTTGTTTTTTTTTTCTTTCTTTCTTTCTTTTTTTTTTTTTTTTTT